GCTGCTCAACAGCCTATGGTGCAGAAGACAGCCCCACAGCGAAGAATGATCCAGCCTAAACGTCACCAGTGCCCAAGTCCCCACGCTAAAGCACGGCATCAAAGCCAAAGGTCTCACTCACTCCCACTACCTCTTGGTACCCGCTGCTGGGCTTCAGTGGGATTTTTTATTGGGTCAGAGAAATAAATCCTAGGTCTGGAGTTGGCCGCCAACCAGGAGTTCTTATAGCAAAGAGCAAAGTTGGGATCGTCAAGCCGCCAGGGTAGAATCACCCAGATCTAAGGCTTAATGCTTCCTCTCTCTTTCCATTTGGGGCTCTTGAGTTACCAGTGATCCGCGGTGACATACAGACTTTCCAAGGGGCCCAGAAGTTTGTTGTGACCTAAGCCCAAGTGCTGGAGGCACGGGGGTGGGCGGGCACACAGACACTCCATGCTGGTGACCTCATTGCCGTAGAGCTCCAACACCTGCGACAGAGCAGAGAGACAGGGCCTGTGAGGCCAGTCCCACTGAGTCCCCAGCCTTCCTTCCACCTGGGACACCGAGGGGAGAAGTTATGACTCACTCATGCCACGCCTCCCTGCGTCCAACTGGACTCCCTTTCAAACATCCGGGAAGAAAGTATGCCTGCGGCAGGTGTTGGAAAGTTTCTTTTCCTTTTGTGGAGGAAACTTTAAAGTTTGGAATGGGAGGTGATGTTGGAGAGGGTGGGAGGGGACACAAATAACATCTTGGCAACTTGTCAACCCCTGGCAATGCATCTCTGGGAAAGCCAAAGGGACACCGGAAGGAATAGGAATAAACTCAAAGATAACAGCCAACACTCGCCTTTCTCCACCAAGGCCCTGCCTGGTTTTTTCTTGAGAATGGCATTGAGCCATATTTCTGAGTCCCTTCTGCCACTAAGTCTACTAATGTCAACATTTAATTTAAAATTGAGACCATTTTGACATGCTCAGCTGAAGACTCATAACAAAGCCTGGCCTACAGTCATTCATTCATTCATTCATTTTGGTGAGAAAGATTGGCCCTGAGCTAACATCCGTGGCCAACCTTCCTCTATTTTGTATATGGGATGCTGCCACAGCATAGCTTGATAAGCAGCATGTAGGTCCGTGTCCAGGATCTGAACCTGTGAACCCCAGGGCCCTGAAGTGGAGTGCACGAACTTAACCACTATGCCACTAGGCCGGCTCTCTGGCCTACATTTTTTTAAACAATTTTTTATTGTGGTAAAATATACATAACATGATTTGCCATTTTAACCACTTTTCAGCATACAATTCAGGGGCATTAAGTACTTTCACATTGTCGGACAGTCATCATCATTAGCTATCTCCAAAACTTTTCATCACCCAAACAGAAACTCTGTGCCTGTTAAGCAATAACTCCCCATTGCCCGCCCCATGCACGTCATAACCTCTAATCTATTTTCAATCTCTGTGCACTTGCCTCTTCTAGATATTTCATGTAAGCGGAACCGTCTAGTATGTGGCCTTTTGTGTCTGGCCTCTTTCTTTCAGCATAATGTTTTCAAGGTTCATCCATGTTGGAGCATGGGTCATTCCTTCTTTGACTAAATAATATTCCACTGTATGGACAGACATGTTTATCTTATTTGTCCATTCATCTACTGATAGACACTTGGGTTGTCTCCACCTTTTGGCTATTGTGAATAACGCTGCTATGCACATGGCATCCAAGAATCTGTTTGAGTCCCTGCCTTCAATCCATCTGGGCACATACCTAAGAATGGAATTGCTGGGTCATATGGAAACTCTACTTTTTGAGGAATCTGGTCTATGTCTTAAAAGCCTGGCGCTGGCTCTTAGGACATAGCCGCAATGGCCAAAGCTTCTGTGCATGGGGCAGGGCCGGGCAGGGCCGGGCAGGGCCCTGGGCTCCTTTACCTTGAGAGTGGGGGGCAGATTGACGGCGTCGATCTCCTTGATTCGATTAGCACTCAGGATCAACTCTTCCAGCTTCGTAAATTTCAGGAGGTCTTTATCCACCAGGCTCACCTGGAAGGGAAGAAAAGGTAGCTAAGAGCTCCCGTGGGCAAGGCTGCACTGGAGCAGAAGCCAAGTCTTACCCATCTTCAGAGACTTACCTCCCAACCCCCCGAACCCCTCCCCTCTCCTGGAAGCCTTTCCTGCATTGTTCTGCCAGGATCCAAGTGCCTCATCCTTGCAGTGACCTCTCACCTCTTCAACTCTCACCCCCTCCTCTGACTGTAGGGGTTATACAACTTCCAGCTCAGTGTCCTGTGTTGGTCTGTGAGCTCCTGAGGGCAGGAACCCCATCTTTTTTGCTGTCTACCCCGGAGCCACAGTGAACACCAAGACTATAAGTTTACACAGCAGGGTCAGACCAGAAGCTTCAGGGGCCCATCCATGAATCCTCAGTTCCCTGTGGCCTCAAAGAAATCAGAGGCCCTTCCTGGCTAGGCTCTCTTTTCTAAGGTGACCAACTGTGCCAGCAGGCCCAGGATTGAGGGGTTCCCAGTGCTAACACCAGGAGAATCCCAGGCAACCTGGCACAGGTTGCTCCCTCTCCTCATGCCCCAGGACTGTGTAAATTCAGTTTCTCCGGGAAAGGAGAAGCAAGCTCAGGAAGGCCAAGACCAAGTTCCTGTGCAATTTTGGGGCTCTGTTACGGATATAAGTAAAGAAGGCTTTTCAGTACCAGAAATTAATATAGTACTATGCCAACGCCCCCAACCCCTGGTCCCCACAGTTTAAATTAAGCAGAATCAATATGGACCATGAAAAGTCTTGACTAGGACCCAGGAGGGCTGACTGTAGGGTGCGCCAGAAATCAGGTGTAGAAGATACATAGTGGACTCCCCACCAGGGAGAAGGAAGACAACACTTAACAAAGAATAAGTGGGCAGCTGGCCCTGCTTGGTAGGAAGCTGGTGAGATGAATTAGACAGAGGGCAGAGCTATCGCCCCATCCTCCCTCCCACTTAATGCCTGGGTCTTACCACTTACCTCCCACTGTCATGGGAATGGCCTCCCTCACAGCACTCACATGCTTGTTCACCATCCGTAGGGACTTGAAGTAAGAGTAGAAGAAGGTGTCTTTGAGCCTCAGTGGATTCTGGATGGCCAGTTCTCTCAGAAAATGGTCCTCTTTACTTGAGCCCTCCAGCAGAGCCCAGGGCGAGTGGGGGCTGCGGACCAGGTCCAGCAGAGCCTCCCTTGTCTCCTCCCCGGGGCTCGCAGCCTCCTCCTCTCTGGGGGTCAGCTCCCTCCATGTTCGCCAAGTTTGAGGAAGAAAGCGTGACTTATTCTGCAATAGTGGAGGTGGAAAATTTCTCTAGTTATGGCTCAGCCCTCTCAAGGATTCGAAAGTCTCCAAATAAAACAGATTATAAAATAGGAGGATCAAGGATAAGCGTTTAGAAATTTGGATGAGTAATTGATACTTTTGACTGATTATTAGCCATGGACATAACTACAGATGAGAGAAGATACAAAATAATAAAAAGGTCCATTCCTAGCTTTATGAGTTTACTCTCAAACTGGGAGCCTTGAAGATGCAAGTAAAAGTGACTAAACATTTAATGCAAAATTTATGTACTAGAAGCCAGGAGGGGCAAAAGGCAATCTGTGGGAGGTAACCGATCAAGGAAAGGTGTTTGAAGAAGAGCTGGCAAGGCTGGAAAGGTAAATTCAGATCCTTTAGATGCCATAAGCGGATGATGAAAGACTTCGTCCCAGAGTTTACTTTCTCCCATCCCTTCCTCCAGGAGACTCTTAAGAGACATCTAAGAAACCCTAAAGCTCAGCACAATGCCAGGCACACAGTAGGTGCTCAACTGATGTTTGTTGCTTAAACGAACAAATGGATTAGTTCCCTGATTGGTCTCTCAATTTTATACTCTGTGAAAATGGGAACACTGACTTCTCCCTAGGGCCGACAAGTGTGGCCAGCCCAGCTTCCCACCAAGACCACAGAAACCTTTCAGGACCCGCATGAGACTCCTGTGCCCACTTGAGGAGCCTGGGTTCTCAACGTCATGCTCCTCCTCCCTGCCACGTGCACCCAGCTGATGAGGATGGCCCTAACCGCCAGCAATGCTCTCAGGATGAGTGCACACATCAAAGTAGGAGAGAAAGGGACCTTCTTGGACAGTAAAGCGCCATGCTTCGTCTTGAAGCTGTCACAACTATGCCCAGCGCCTTATTTCGTTCTGCCTCCCCAGAGCCCTGGAAGCATGGGGGGAGGGCGCAGATGCACCTGCTCTAGCCTTCCTGAGCCACCACTCGCTCCCCAGGGGAAAGCTTTAGGAGGGAAGGGCCTCTGCCCTCAGAGACACGGAGACAGGGACGGAAGGCGGAAGCCGCTTCTCCCACATCCGCCCGCCTCCGTAGCATCCGAACAGGGCCTGCTCAGGACCATCGCCCCCACGCGGCTCGGGGCTCTCGTTCTGTGCTCTGGGGCTCTTGAAGGGTGAGCAGCTCTTCGCCCACACGAAAGCTTTTCACTCCAAAAGGAGCGTGGTGTCTTTAAGAGAGCGAGAGGCCCTGCCCCAGGTCAGTCCGAGGTGCTCAGGATGGGGTCTCTGCCCTCCACCCCCAAGGGGTCAGCGCCCACAAGCCTAGGCGGGTAGGGAGGGGGGGAGGGGGGCCTATTCGGTCCAGCCCTGCAGAGTCCCACCCCCACCCCAGGTCAGGCCGCCCGCTAAACGCCCAGATGCGAACCTCCTCTCAGGTCCTCCAGATCAGCCAACTCCCGGGGCTGGCGGACCCCACAGCCCCCGGGCCAACCCCACCCCGGCCCCGCTCCCAGTCCCCAGGCCCTGGCCTGGCCCCTGATCCGTCCCCTCCGGCTCCCAGACCCCCTGAGTCCCTCCGCCGCCGCCCGCGCCGGCGCCGCACCCAGCTGCCGGTGCCGCACGGGAACTCGCGCAGACACAGCTGCCGCAGGTGCTCGCGGACCGCGGCGCTCAAGGTCCGGGTGGGCTCCTCCATGCCGGCGCACACCGTTGCTAGGCAACCGCCCGGACGCGCGCGCCGGGGCGGGGCATCGGCTCCAGGCGGCTGTGGCCGCAGAGGCGCAGGCGCTCCCGGAAACCACGACTTCCCGGTGCGTGCACACTTCTCCGGCCAGGAATCAGAGACCCGGACTCGGTCCCCAACGACCTGGTTTTCTCTTCTGACCTTATCTGCGCTCGCAGCTGTAAAATTGGGCTAAGAGTACCCTTCCCTCTACAGCCAGGGGGTTATAACTTGCGTAGCTCCCAGCAGGTGTTGAGCGCTTCCCATATGCTAGTCTGTTTCCATTTCTCCTCCGCAGCACCCTTCGAGGAAAGTGCTAATTCTTATCCCCATTTGATCGATCTGGAAAGGAGAAATGAGCGCAAGGTCAAACAATCTTAACACTCTAATCAATGGATTCCAAGGTGGAGCTCTTCATTCGTCCAGTCAGGGGTTTATCACTGTCTCCTGTATCACACATTTCTGTCTGTCTGTATAACCGGTGTGGCACCAAGACCCCATTTTGATGCAATCTATTCACCTCTCCATTCTCAGAGCCTCTAGGCCACTGCTGGCCACACAGTAGGGGCTCCTGGGCACCGGTTGTGAACTTCATGGGATAAGATGATTCTGAAAATTTGGAAATGCAACATCTTTATTGGATTATGATTTACACACTATAAAATTCATCCGTTTAAAGTGTACAATTCTGCAGTTATTAGTATATTCATAGTGCCACTATATTCGTAGTGCAACTATAATTTTCAACGTCTTCTGTTCCCTAAAAGGAAACCCTGTCCCCGTTAACCAGTCATTCCCCATTCCCCCACCCGCCCAGCCCCAGGCAACCACTAATATGCCTTCTGTCTCTATGGACTTGCCTCTTCTAGATATTTCATGTAAGTGGAATCATGCAATCTGTATCCTCTTGTGTCTGGCTTCTTTCGTTTAGCATAATGTTTTCAAAGTCCGTCCATATTGTAGCAGGTGTCAGTGCTTCACGCCTTTCTCTGGCTGAGTGATATTCCAGTGCACGGATAGACTGCATTCTGTTTATCCATTCATCAGGTGATGGACATTTGGGTTGTTTCCACTTTTTGGCTCTTTTGAATAATGCTCTACGAACATTTGTGTTCAAGTTTTTGCGTCAACATATGTTTTCATTTTCATTCCTAGGGTAGATACCTAGGAATCAAATTACTGGGTCACATGGTAACTCAATGTTTAACACTTTGAGGAACTGCCAAATTATTTTATACAGAATCTGCACCATTTTACCTTCCCACCAGCAATATATGAATGTTCTGATTTTTCATATCCTCACCAACACATATTATTTACATTTTTTTATTATAGCCATCTTAGTAGGTGTGAAGTATCTCACTGTAGTTTTTAATTTGCATTTCCCTAAGGCCTGACTAATAATATTGAGCATCTTTTCATGGGCTTATTGGCCATTTGTATGTCTTCTTTGGAGAAATGTCTATTCAAATCCTTTAGTCATTTTTAAATTGGGTTATTTGTCTTTTTATTGTTGAGTTGTAAGAGTTTTTTTTTTACATATTCTGGATACTAGTCCCTTGTTTTATACTTGATTTGCAAGTATTTTCTCCCATTTCTGTGGGTCATCTTTTCAATTTCTTGATAGTGTCCTTTGACACACAGAAGTTTTTAATTTTGATAAAGTTTGTCTGTTTTTTTCTTTGGCCGCTTGTGTTTTTGGTGTCATTTTAAAGAAACCATTACCTAATCCATAAAATTGAGTTTTGAGCATGAAGCCAAGAATGAAAAAGTTAAAATCTCTACTAGGGCAAAAACTTCGAGATGAGCTTTGCTGATCTCAGTTCCTGATAGTCTTTTGTTTTACTGGATAGGCATCAGAGACCAGAGCAGTGGCCTGTACCCTGATCTTTCAGTTGTCATGGATGATGGCTATCAGCACAACCTCTCTGCCTGAGGGTCATCACATTCTTAAGGAACTCAAAAGAACAAAGTTATCAACTTATAGCAACTGTTGGGGGGGGGGCTCCATAAAATCTACAGAGCATGTCTGAGTTAGTTAATCAGAAGTCATTCAAAGTTACAGAATGGTTTCTTTTCTACAATATGGCTCCCCTTATGTCAACCTTGTGTTGAGCTGGTATCAAATCACCCCTTTTGTTGTTCATCCTCAATCTTGAGGGATTATCCTGTTGATGAGGGGCATAGGTTGTTCCATCTCATTGAACCAGTCTCTTAGTAAGATGGTGTTGCAGGTGGGCTCCCAAAGTTCAGCTTATGTTGTGTAAGCAAGTAACCAAGTATTTAATAAGAAGTATTTCTAGAGAGACAAAAAGAAAAACAAAGTTAATGGTGGGAGCAAATTACAAGCCTTTCTGAGCCCAAGTGGCAGCCAGTCAAAAAGGTTTCTAGATGGAAGAGTCAAAGCATCTTTTGCAGTTTGAAGTGTCTGTGATGATGTCATCAGGTGTCAACAGACATGAATATCTCTTAAGTTTATATCAAACTATCCAGCTTCAGTTTGCAAGATTTCAGGAAAATGGCAGGTTCAGTTCTCAATGATTCCAAATGAAGATGATGGGAAAAAGTTCAAAGTATTAGTTTGAAGATTTGTAGCCAGATACTTCAAGAGGCTAGAAGAATTCAGGATCCAGTCCAGTCAACAGATAGAAAACAAAACCTCAAAGACAATTATCAGAACTGGAACCTAATATCCATGAATGTGTACTATAGTTTCTATTGAAACATAATGTATCTCTCTAAAATCACCCTCATTTTTTATAAAAGATAGCCAAAGTAAGACTAACTGGTTTGCAAAATAAGTTCAGTGTCAATAAACTTGGCCCAATTATTTACATAAGTACAGAAAGAATAACAATTGATTATACAGGTTTTTTCAAATCTGCTTAGCTGGAACTTTTTATGAGGAATCTTAGATTGAACTTTAAAGGCTTCTCCAGGCTAGGAAAGCCAAGTCAAAGACTTGTCATCAGATTTTGCCTGCAATACCCACAGCTTTGGGTAGATTCCTCTCTTCTCTAGGTCTCCAAAAATATTTCAAGATTCCAGGTGCCTGCCAGGTAAGTGATCCTACTTACTTACTGGGTAAGATTGCTGGAATTCATGTAAACAAGGTACCAGGCCAATATTTCCAAATGGCTTTATTCAGAAAGTCAACGCTTATTCCTCAAAAGCTGTCTTGTCATATCTGAATCTGCATGTTTCTCTCAAATATGACATTCCAGTCAAAGTCTTGGTAAGGTAACCAATGTTTCCAAATGTGTCCTGCTATACGGAGAACAGATTCTTATTGAACTTATGCAAATAACTATATTGCCATGAAAACAATACTCATTAGAAGTTTCTAATTCCTGGAGGGATCAGGTAGGGAGAAAAAGAAATGTTCCAAATCTGCTTACAAAGGTATAATTTATCAAATTTATATAAGTCATAGCACGAGAGAAAAAGACTTCCTTAGATCTGGAAACAAAACAGAACATCAAAAAAATCAGCAATATCTCAAATGAAAAGTCATATAAATCATAGTCATCCTCATCAGTTCATTCAGTCCTGTGTAATTCATTCTTGATCTTAATCTTCTGTTGGCAGTTTTATGAGGTCATCAGTTTCTGTATTAGAGTTCTGTAATTTCTTACCCCATTCAGTTTTGCAATCTGAAAGTTTATCAGAAACCTGTATTCTAGCGTGCCAGAGTCCTTTCCATGAATTTCTCTGATGATAAAACATATTTTGCAAAATCATCAGAGTAAAACATTAACTGTCTGTAAACAACAAGATCCCAAAATGGCAACTGACAAAGAAATCTGGTTAATTTTGTAACATACAATACTTTAAAATAACAACCAGAATTATGGCTGACAACCAGGACAGATCAGAATTGTAGGAATGTTATATGATTTTTAAAACATTTATATCAATAACATTTACCGAGATAATACCACTTAAGAAGGTTTATCATCATTTATTTGACAATGCTTCCTATGTAATTTGACAGACCAAATAAGCCTAATTAGCTTAGTGTCTTCCTCCTTATAGGAAGAGAGAAAATCTCTTTGAGAAGTCTCGGGGCCCTCTGAAAATCCTCAGAGAAATTCTCTTCCTTCTTCCAGGCCAAAATAAAGCTTTTATTCAGGATTTGAATATTTTGGTTGGGCGGCGGGAGCTTGTAAAAAATATCGAAAGGTTTTAAAACACTTGGTCCAATAGAAAATAGTGCTCACTCCATTCAATCAACGTGACAACAGGAACAGTCAAGGGCGAGCAGTTAAAACAGTGAAAAAATCCTAACAGTGTTTCTGAACACAGGAAATTATTTTAACAAAACATGGATTTTCTGTCTTTTAGGTAGACTTACTCAAAAATAAAGAAAAAACCTTTTATAACCCCTTTATCAAGAGCAGACCAAAAGTTCAAGAAAATTATCCTTTTGAGAGAGAAGACCAAATTTTAATTTTTGCACCAGCTCATGTTTTTTTTTCACATTAAAACTCATTTACTTAATTGGATTTACTTTAATCTTAGCCAACTTGACCAGGCATAAAACTCCTTTCAGAATTTCTCTTTTACAAACCTTCTATAACTTTCTTTTTCCATTCCGAATTTGTCCCATGCTTCCTTTTTTTTCTTCTAGTACGTTAGGACAAATTTGTCTTTCTTAACCCAACAAACAAAAATATTTCCATTCTTTATACCTTCTTTACTGAAAACATACACTTTACTTTCCCTAGACACAAAGATGTTTGCCTTATTAATTTTCAGTAGCTTTAATTGTATATATTAATTAGAATTTTTAACCCTTACAGACCCTAGGAAAAACTAAAAACAAAGCAATTATGAACTGTCTTTTACATTAGCATATTGTTGCTTGGCAAATTTATAAATACTTTTTATAATTTCTAGAAATATGCTGCTTTGTGGTACAATCTTAATAAAATACAAGATATGTTTACTAATAGACTCAAACATCTTTTAGTTTCTTTGTAATAAGAAGCCAAAGGTAGATAAATCTAGACATGTCTAAGGATAATGTTTCAGTATTTTATCTTATTGGAAAAATGACCTGGATATTCAGTGAGTTTTTTATAATTC